TCAAAAACTGTCCTTTGACGACTCTTACTGGTGATCCAATGCGAGTTACAAAAAAAAACTCAAAAGCAATTTTAAAAAGCGTTAAATTTCCCATAAGGTGTATTAAACCGATTTGCAATATTGTCAAAGGTGGGTAAGCATTACAAATTTGAAAAAAAAAAAATTTTGACATACATTTTAAACGGTAAAACTTTAAATTTAAATAGTAAGTGCTTAAAATTAATATTAAGAGCTCAAACTTGGTGAGAATGTTTTTTCCTATATGCAGATTAATATTTTGCTTGAGCACCGAAAAAAACAAAAACTTTGCGGAAATGAATCACCCTAATAATTATATTATTGTATAATTTTTCCCTGAAAGTTCTAGTGAAAAAATGTCATTTGCTACTCAAAAGTCCATGGGTGTTAATAAAAATTGTAAATCGGAATTAGAATTCGACCCACTGTGCCGTGGTCAAAAAATCCATTGAATTGTAACACTTTGCAGAGCGACTACCATACAGTGCACCAGTTTGACGTGGCCATGCAAAGACGGGACCTTGTCTCGTGATAGCATTGGCCCCAATATTCTCAAGCGGTCTCGTATTAAACGTACTCGTACTAAACGTTAGTATATACGTCATATTTTCATTAATCTGGTTTAGAAGGACTTTGCTGGTTAAAGCAGATTGACACTGTTCAACGAAATTTTGGATTTTTTTGTTTTTGGTATTATTTTTATTGATTTTGATAAACATGTCCAACATTTATGTGGGAATTTTTGGTTTTTTATCATTTTATTAAATTTTTTTAATGTGTATTGTTTTGCCACTGCAAGTTGCACGTGTTTCTATTAATATTTATAGTTATTTCTGTTACGCCAATTACTTTTTATATTAGCAACATTTTTTCTGATAAACAGGGAATGCCTATTAAATTCTCACTTTATGTTCAACATGATTGTTTTTGCATAAAATATTTTATTTTAACCATATTATAAATAAACACAGCGTTCAAATTTATAATTCCAGATTTACTTTTTTTTAATAAAATTTATAAACTAGTCGCAACGAAATAGGGAGGGCTTTATTAAACCTGCGTAACTTTTTAATAAAACTTAAAATTTGGTAAAATTATATTAAATATTTAAGTCTGGACCTTAAAATATAGCGATATATGCTATTTTATTCTTAAAAAAAAATTATACCTTAAATTTAATTTGGTCGAATTTTACTTTAGATAGTTGGTATCATAGTCATTGGTTTGACAGTTAATGTCAAAATCGATTCGCCATGCCGTCCTTAATTTACTTATTTACAACAAGCGGCTGTTAATGTTAATGAAGAAAAAAAGGATTTTATTTGGTGTTAAACAAAATTTAGTTGCCAGAAAAGTCTCGTAAGTACTAGAAAAATCATAAAAATATTATAACCAATATGCAAAATATTATGCTGTTTAAAGTATAGCCAACCTATAAAATCAAAATTTTGGGTGGCATAAAGTATCTCATTACAGCACCGAAAGCGGTGTTATAATGAAGTGTTGAACAATTTGTTTTTGTATGCTTTTTTACTTTTGTTAAAATTATTTTGTGTTTTCCAGTTTTTTTACTAATGTTTTTTCGACAACGAAATGGTTTAATTTAATATTAATGGTTTAATTATAAAAAATTAAAAAATTGGAATAAATAATTATAAAAATTATTTTGCATTGAGAAAAAAAAACAATTTGAAACATATCAAATGCATTTATTTTTACCATACTAAATTTTATCAAACGGTTTTTACGGAATTGCGTAGGAATTACGTAGAATAGTTAATGCAAAATTAATTTTCTTATTTACCATTATGATCATTTTAATTTGTATTTTCCTAGAAGATAAGAGTTACATTTTTTGTAAAACTAAACATCACTAAATAAATAATTAAATTAATTAAATATTAACAATATCATAAAACAAAATACCTTTTTTTATAAATAAGAAAAATAAGAAAAAAAGTATTTTATGTAGTAAGTTTTATAAACGCCATTTTGGTTAGTTTTCCTTTGTAAAATCGCAACCCTATTTTTAGTTTATTAATGAAGAAAATGCTAACAGTGAATTTATTAAGGTAGGTCATTACTAATTTAATATGTATACCAAAATTTTATAGCTTACACACATGACCTACGGTTTTTGATATCTTAATTAAGTTTTAGAATAATATTTATTAATTAATTTAAATTTATTTCACAAACAAAACGTTTTATCAACTATTGAAATTGGCCGAACACTTTTTAAACAAATTACACAAATAAATTTAATAATATTCCCATCCAATTAAATTAAAAATATTTTTAATCCCTAAACCAGCAGCATTCTTATAGCACGTTGTAAAAACATGATTGTGCCATTTAAATTGTGATAATTATCTTTGGCAAATATTTTAAGTTTAATCTGGGTTATATTTATAGAATATAAAAAAGAAACATATACTTTTGACGTCAATGGATTTTATTATTCAAAAAGTAAGCATATTTTATTCAGAATTCTTAAGATAAAAAATATCACAACACAGATAAATTATGTTTCTCAAAATGTAATGTTAGAAACAATCTCAGAAAAAAAATTATAGAAAACAAAAATTCATTCAGTAACTTTTTTTAATAAAATATTTTTATTTTTACATGGTTTTTCCTATCTAATATTAATGCAATTTAATTTAAGTAAATAAAAATTATTGATTCAGCACAATAATAAAACGTTTATTTAAGAAAAAATATTTTTCATTTTAATTTACTCCACAATTTGCCTATAAAATGTCTCATTTTATGTACATATGTAGATATTGTTAGTAAAAGTTTAAACCAGGTAAAGTAAATAATGACTCTTTTTATATTATTTATAAATAAAACAAACAATAGTAAAATATTTGTACTGTTTGTCTTGATAAGTTTTATTATTGCGATATTTATTATTTATGTTATTTTTATTCAAAAAATACTCCAACGAGCAGTTGGTTTGTGTCTTATGTATAAGGTAAGATTTATGCATATTTTAATAGATTTATCGTGAAAAAAATGTTTCATTTATATCGCAAGCTCGCTTGTACCTAAATTAAATTTGTGACTAAAATGGCGTTTATCTATTTTGCGTTCATAATGACTTCATTATAACACCGCTTTTGGTGCTGTAATGAATACTTTATCCCACCCAAAATTTTGATTTTATAGGTTGGCATAATATTTTGCATATTGGTTATAATATTTTTATGATTTTTCTATAGTATTTACGAGACTTTTCTGGCAATAAATTTTGTTAAACATCAAAGAAAATCCTTTTTTTCTTCTTTAACATTAACAGCCGTTAATTGTAAATAAGTTAATTAAGGACGGCATGGCGAATCGATTTTGACATTAACTGTCAAACCAATGACTGTGATACCAACTATCTAAAGTAAAATTCGACCAAATTAAATTTAAGGTATAAAATTATTTTATTGTAGAATTTTTGCAAAATAGATAAAATAGCATAAAGAACTCATGTCATAAGACCTTTTGTCGCACTTGTCCGCGTGCGACAAAATGACGTCTTATGAAATTAGCAGGGCTCCCACACCTCCTAAAATTCCTAAAATTTGGCTTAAATCTTAAAAACTCCTAAAATTCTCCTAAAATTGCCATCAATCTCCTAAAAATTAAATATAAGTAGGCCAACTTGACTGCGTTTAATTAAGGTAGTTTTGCTAAAAAAATTCTTTTTTAAAAAGTAATTTAAAAAATATATATTTTTGGGTTCTAGTTTATCAAATTCTTTTTAAAATGATATAGGTGTCACAACCTACATTTTTCTTAAAAAACAACAAAATATACCATAAAACAAAATCCATGTAGTAGCTTCTAGACTTTTACAAAATTGTCATTTTTAGCCATATTTCGTTAATTTTCGACAAAAATATACCGTGTTATATATCAAACAAAAGGATTTTTAATTTTCTTTTAAATGATAGCTAAAATAGTAAACAATCTAAAGAATGTTGTAACAATAACAATTTTTTTTTTCAAAATATAAATATAACATCATAAAACTTTGGCCTAATTTTTTAGCCATATCTATCGACGCTTTTTTCTTAAATAAAATTAAAAGTGTGGTGAAATTTCTACTTGTAGATATGTATATACAAAAGTAGTAATTTTACCTCACTTTTCATTTTATTAAAAAAAAATTCGTCGGGCGATTTAGCTAAGAAACTAGTCCATAATACCTATTTGTACAAAAGAAGTGTTATTTATTTATATTTTTGTTAAAAAGAATTACTTATTTTTTTCTTATTTTTTAAGTATAGTGTAGAGTTGTTTTTATTTAATTGAATAAATTCATTTGCATACTTTTTTCTCCTAAAATTCTCCAAAAAACCTCCTAAATTCCTAAGTAAAATTTGTAATTTAACCGTGGGAGCCCTGAATTAGTTCTTTAATATACTATTATCAAACTTAATACGTAATACACTATAAATTATAAAATAAACATTTATAAAATTCATAAACAAAAAAATAATAGATGTACCTAATAAAACATATAATTTGTTTATAAAATTTTGTCTGTTATTTATTTAGTTTTTCATCGTTTAACATATTTTTTACAAAAAAATAAGTACCTACCTAATTATTATTTTAATTAATTAATTTATTACAATTTTTTACTTTATATTTTAATAAGCTTTATTGATTAATATTATTGATAATAATTATGTTAATAATAAGTAGACCAATTTTAAATTTATGGTATTTTACTATGCAATGACAGCCCCTAAATGAAACATAATAAAAAATTGGTTTAAACGTTAAATTCAGAGAATCATTAAATAAATCTCAGCGGACAGAAAGAAGTGCAGTTAGGCGGGCAATAAAAAGTGACCGTTAAAGAACGGATACGGCGCACATAGAGAGAGATCTAACAGGAAAAATAATCACAAAGCGAGCTACGAGTAACAAGACCTCTACGCCATGGTAACTCGATAATAAACGATAACAATTCCCAGTCGACAAACAACAACCGTCACGCTCGTAATAATGCGTTCTTTCGTTACAGTTTCGCGTCGTTCTGGTCTCGACGAACCGTCGACGATCGGCCGTGGAGTGACGACGTCGTGGTGCAGACCGCCCCCGCAGTAGCCGCCCCCGAGTACCGCTCCAGCTACACCGAGGAGGAGTTCCTGGAGATCTTCGAGCGCGGCAAGAGGAACTGCCTCGAGTACCTGTTGAAGCACGGCGACGGCATGGCGGACCTGAGGGACGTCGTCAAAAACAAGGCCGAAAAGCACCGGTCGTTCTACGAGAAGCTGGTAGACGACGACAGTGCCGACGGCGGCGGTCGCGCTACCGGCCGCGAGGTGGCGCCACCGATAGCGGACCGCGTCGAAGATTCCAATGCAGCAGGTACCAACAAAGGGGATGCTAAGCGGCAACGCAAGCAGGGGGTGCACGAGATGAACCTGCCCAAGGAGATCGTCACGTTCCAGAGCGTGAAAAAATTGCGCGACAACTACTCGGCCATGTTGCAAAGAAAATCCAAGGATAAAGCATCTAAAGACGAGCTTTTGGCGCCCCCGAACAGCGGCTACTGCAGTTCTTCGGCGTCCAACAATAGTGACGACGAGACGAGGGAAAAATGTTTCAACGTTAGAAGATGCGGTTCGAACGATAGCGCGGTTGGTATTAGTGACGAGGATGCGGTTATCAGTTCCAATTGGGGAGAAAAGTCTGAAAATTTCGACGAGGAGACCTTCGAGACTGATTACAGGTAAATTTTTCTTCAATGATTCTATTTTGGGTACTAGTCCAGTCAACGCGTCGCACGGTGGACTGGGCCTGGCCAAAAGTCCAAAAATTCAACTTTATTGATCAAAAAAATCATACACCTATGTAAATAAAAACCCTTAATTTGTAAGATTCCAAAAGAAAAAGTTAAAAAACATTTTGTATAAAAAGATACAGCTGTGAAATGTAAAGCAAAAAAAAAATTAAGATTTTAGATTTGAACGGAATTGTTTTTTCCTTCAAGGCGCTGTTACTTCTTATACATTAGGATGGAGCAAAAAAATTTTTTTTTTTCTTAGGCTGGGAGTGGAATTTGTAGCCTATAAAAAAAGAAAATATTTGAAAAAAAAATTGTACTCAACGTCAACGTAAATTTTTGTTCAATGTCGCACGGTGGGCTGGGCCTGGCCAAAAGTCCAAAAATTTATCTGATCAAAAAAATAATACACCTATGTAAATAAAAACCCTTAATTTGTAAGATTCCGAAAGAAAAGGTTAAAAAACTTTCTATTTAAAAAAGATACAGCTGTGTAAAATAAAGTAATACGGAAAAAATTAAGATTTTAGATTTGAACGTGAATTGCTCTTACTTCTTATACATTAGGGTGGAGCAAAAAAAAATTTTTTTTCTTAGCCTGGGAGTGGAATTTGTAGCCTATACAAAAAGAAAATTTTTGAGTGTTCCGGAAACTGCGGAGTGTCCTCTTTCTTGCTAATTAACAGTTATGAACTTGTGGTCATTATTGTTGTTTTTAAAAAAATTTCAAAATAGTAACATGCTTTTCTGAGGCAATAGAGCGAATTTCAAGTTGAACACGATCAAATTTGTTTATTTTTAGATAAATTTGAAGATTAGAAAGCCAAAAAAAATTTTTTTATTCAAAAGAATTTTAACTTAAATTTAATTTAAAAAATCAGTGGGCCACCTCAAAACGTTGAGTAAAAATTTTTTTTCAAAAATTTTCTTTTTTTATAGGCTACAAATTCCACCCCCGGGCTAAGAAAAAAAATATTTTTTTTCACTCCACCCTATTATACATAACAAAAATATAAAAAAATATATGGTTTAAATTTAAGATGTAATGTATGTTTTGTAAAAGTATTTTATTAATTTTACTTATAAAATTATATTAAATAACATAATATACCTTGTAAAATCATAGAATTTTACACTTAACTAGGGATAAGTTATGCGGTCCAAGTTAGTCCAGAAAAATGTTTTCACCAAATTGTAGCCCAAAAAATAACGAGTAAGACTATATATGGGTATCAATACATCTTTTGACACCTAACAAAATTATAGTGGTTTATAAAAGGCCGCGCGCTAAGAATTTTGTATTTAAAATTGTTAAACAGCTAAAGATTGCCCTCTTCTTAACTATAATAAATATATGATCTATTGTTAATTTCTTAATATTACATATAAAATCATTTAATAATAATTATGTAGCTATTTGTAATCCTTCTCATTTTACTACCTCGAGGTAAAAATAGTTTACAGTAATAAAAACGTAATGATAATCCTTTAAGGTAATGTACCTTTTTGTATATATATTGCAATTTTCCATTTTAACATTAGGCATATCTCACCAAAAAATGTAGGTATATAAAGCTAAGCCCAATAAACATTTTGATAGGGAATCGAAAGCTCTATAAAAAAGGCATCCTATAATTTTTTAGTGAACCAAGACATTCGAAAGATATCTTGGGACACAATTTTATAGACTTAAGTGTCTACCTGGCGGTAAACTGTTGCTGCGTTAAACTGTTAAGGCGGTAAATACCTGGCGGCAAATTGCTAACGGTGAATTTCTGTCGATAAATTGTTTCCACGATAAATAGCTGGCGGTAAATTGCTGCGGCGATAAACAGTTGAGGCGGAAAACTGTTGGCGATAAATTCCTGGCGGTAAATTGCTAACGGTAATTTGCTGGCGATAAATTTTCCGGATACGGTACCTAACATTTCAAAACTTTGTTCCAGATACCCTGTGAGCCCGTACAGCCCCCGGGGCTCCATAGACCACTCGAACGTGCCCAGTCGCACCCTGATCGAGGCTAAATTCGTGCCGATAGTCGAGCGGAAGTACAGTGACAGTGCCGCGAGTGTCAGTGACGTGGACCGCAGTGGCAGCCGGCGCGAAAGCTGCGTCACCGACGACGGGGACGAGACCCCTCGGTACCGCTACTGGCGCACGCCCTCGGTGGTGGTCAGCGACTACTCCGACGACATAATGGGCCTCACGTTGGAGGACATCGAGTACATCAGGAGCAAGAAGGCCCAATCCAGCTCGCCCGACTCCAGCGCGCACAGCTCCTGCAGCAACCTCAACTATTGCGGGTCCACCATAAGCGGCCTGGATGCCGAGTACGTGCTCAGCAAGCCCTTCAGAAAATCATCGGCCTGCTCGACTTGCAGCACTTTGAGTGGAGACGAGGAGTTGGACACTCTACATCCTTATAAAAAAGAGGTAGGATACATAACTTTTATCTCCACGCGGTCTATAATTTAAACTTTATTGTTGTCAACATTCGATAAAGAAATACCTTGTTAGGGCCTAGGCCGATAAAAATTTTATGAGGCAAGTAATTAGTTCAATTTTTTCTCGCTAGGGGTATTGTTTTGACAAATTAATCCTTTTCCAAGAAATGAACGTACTAAACTGGTTTAATTTATTTATAATAAGCACTAATTTGTTTGTTTTACTGTTAATGTTTAACATTTTTCATTAAATTATTGTAAAATTAAATATAAATAATAAAACAAAAAGTGAGGTTAGGCAACCAAGAAAACGCACGATTCTTTTTCTACGATTTAAATTATCTTTAAGTTTTATTTTGTTTAAGTTTTCAGTAAAATTAAATGTTAAACACAGCTTAAACATTCCAAACTACCTATTTTTTAAACAATTAATTGAATTCAATGTAATAGCAAAAATCCATTTCTACTTAAATCATGTTGCTAGGTATTGTCAAATTATTACTGCTTTTAAAAGCAATAATAATTATTGTACATTTAATGTAATCTTTAGCTAATAAATAAATGAGATTCTAAAAAAGTAAGGTTAGGCCGCTTTTATGTTGAATTAAATTGACCTATATAAAGTGCTTTGAAGATAAAATGTTGTATGCCATTCGGCCAAGAAGTGCCTTTACTTCTTACCTAATGACATAAATAACTATTATTATCTACAAATTTTTCCACTTCTCGTTTGTCAATCTATATTTTGGTTGTGATGAAGGTTTTTCGGCATAAATTTCGGCTTCAAAAAAAAAAGTCCAAATGCGTTAAATCAGTGATTGGTTCGCTAAACTTCGTTTTGTTTTTTTTTTATAAAAAAACCAAAATCTTGACTTACAAGTAGCGCCACGACGAAACAGTCAAGAGTCGCCATTGTTGGTTTGGGAGTGCTATTGGAAGGGCGTCATTCGATTGGGGATGCCTGTGTCTAGAGAGCATAAGCTCTATTAAGGCTCTTTTCGATGTTGAAGGTTTGTTTCCTCCTGGTCCAAGCAGCACTGTTTCCAAAATATCCAAAATTTATCATACATAAACCACTTGTAGAAATGCCCAATATTTTGGTCTCATTTTAACTCTTGTATGGAGATAATATTGGTGTTCATATCGACGAGAACAAAGTTTCAGCCCTTAATCTTACTTTTAAGTGCTTTTATTTTGATTTTAAAGTTTTTTCCTTGAAATATTATATGAAATTTAGGATACGTTACCAAAGTCATATTTTTTATGAAAGAACAGTATTTTTTGCCTTTTACGGCAAAACGGTTAAAGTTACAGGTAAAATATTTTTATAGAAAATTTAGGTTCCTGTAAAAAAGATTATGTTCATTATTTCAATACAATGCATATTTTAAAAGATATAGAGCATTTAATAAATTTTACTGCCAAGTTTCGATAAAACTAATAATTTTATCAATATAAGTAGTTGATCGTTAAATTTATTCTTATATCTTTTAAACTATACATTTTATTGAATTAATGCAATAATATAGGAAATTTAGGATACTTTTATATTTTTTATGAAAAATAGTACATTAAAGAACTAATGTCATAAGACGTCATTTTGTCGCACGCAGAAAATTTATAAAATGAGCGACGAAGGAGCAAGTTTTGTAATGGACTAGTGCGACAAAAGGTCTTATGACATGACTTCTTTATGCTATTTTATCTATTTTGCAAAAATTCTATAAAAAAAATAATTTTATTTTGGTGTTGTACTATATACTATAAAAATCATAAAAATATTATAACCAATATGCAAAATGTTATGCTGTTTAAAGTATAGCCAACCTATGAAATCAAAATAGATAAAAGTATTTTTCCACTCCCATCTTTAAAACGCCCTTAATGGTACATGTTTCCATGACACTAAGTGACCTTTTAAATACACATTGACAAGTTGTGGCTTTATGGCGCTTTAGTCACGGGCTGAAGTTAGCAACAGGTTTTTAGTCACGGGCTAAAGTTACTTTTAAGTTAGTTGACAGTTGTCATACAATCGTTAAAATAAAGCGCCTTTCTTGTAAAATAATACTAAATGTGAAAATTATTTTATTACCTCAATAAAAAAGTATTAAATAGTTTCTCAACGCCAATATTTGAAAAGTTTATATGAACATTGTATTGACCTTTTAATTTCGCCGGCAGTAAACTATAACTTAAATTCGGGCACGGACCCCACTGTAAAGTCCTCATAAAACATTTTCTTTACTTTCACTGTAAAAAACTATCAATTTTCAAGAAATACATTTCGATTTATAACCTTTATAATCTGTGACATTTGACGGTGACACACAGATTCCCCTATTGTTTCATAGATGGCGCTCTATACAAGTTTTTGATTTAAATCATTTTAAGATAATAATAAGTATTTGTCGTAGAAAAAGTATAGTATGCACCTCGTTTATAAACTTTTCTATACACTCATTAATTTAAGCACTCGCAAGCTCGCTCGTGCTTAAATTGAAACTTGATACATAATATACTATTTTTGCCTTTTAGTACAAGGCTTTTACGGCAAAACGGTTACAGTTACAAGTAAAAGTAGAAAGGATTTTTATAAAAATTTAATTTTCTATAAAAAGGATTATGTGCATTATTCCAATAAAATGCATTTTTTAAAAGATATAGAGCATTTAATAAATTTAACTACCAAGTTTCTATAAAAGTAATAACCTTATTAATATAGTTAACCCTAAATTTTATTAAATGCTTTATATCTTCAACTATACATTTAATTGAATTATTGCCTAAAACTGTTTTTGTAGGAAATTAAATAATATTTACTTTTTACCTGTAACTTTAACCGTTGTGCTGTAAAACAACATAGGACCAATAGTTCATAAATATTTGACAGTCAAATTTATTAAATCCTTTATATCTTTTAAACTAGGTATGCAATTTATTGAATTAAATCATGACTTTTTTTGTAGGAAATTACATTTTTCATGACAACAAAACAAAAAACAACTTTTGTTTACTTTTTACCTGTAACTTTAACCGTTCTAGGACTAATTAGTTTATCAATATTTGACACTCAAATTTATTAAATGCTCTATATATTTTAAACTGTACATTTTATTACATTATTGCAAAAGTCCTTTTTTATAGCAAATTAAATTTCCTATAAAACTTTTTAACTTGTTACCTGTTACTTTAACCGTTTTGTTTAATTAAAAATATGACTTCGGGTCTAAATATAGTATATAGTAAAATTGTTGCAAGTAATTTAAAATGTCGCCAAGTTATGGGAAAAAAATCCTTAATTTCTTCTTGTTATTTTACTGAAAAAATTAAAATAAAAGTACTTCTTGCGGTGATTTATATATTACTAAAAAAATATTGCGCCCATATATCCTTGCAACGTTAACGGTGAAATTGCGATTGTTATCTTTATCAATGATGAATATTATTATATGCGGCCAACTTATTTTTGATTTACACCCATAAACCTGCCCCGTGTAATGGTCGTTATTAATATAGGTTCGCGCGCCCAAAAATGCACTTTTTAAAATCGCTCTCCACTCTCCAACATTTATTTATTGTAAGTCATTTGGGTTAATGCGTTGACTGACCATAATAAACAAGACGTTTTGGATAAAATTAAATTAACTTATTTATTATGCAGAGTCAGGCGGGCTTTAGTTTTCAAATCCGATTTAAAATCTCCATAAATAGGCATTTACAATCAATTTTAATACCGGTGGATTTGTTATCTTAAGTTTGTTATGCAGTGCCCTAATTGTTTCATTACATGAAGATTTTAAAAATTACATATAGAGGAGACAGAATAAAACTATAATTGCGTGTTTAGGTCGACATTGTGATTAATAAGCCATGAATGTCAATTATGTTTGTTAGATAATACCCACATTTCCGTATTTTAATCCGTTTGATGACGTCTGTATTAAATTAAAATTTTACGTCAAACATTCCATTATTAAGGAGGGATTATAATGTATACATGTAGGTGCAATTGATGTGGTAATTGGCACCTATTTTGCGTTTGGTTGAACATTAACAATGGAAGATTATGAAAAACGTTGGAAAAATTGTTTACAACTACAAAATTATGTGATTCTACAGGTAAAATAAAAGAAAAAGTTGCTATAAACATCTGCAGATGTCCGAAAGTGCCTCCTGGGGGCGCTATAGGCATTTTATACTGTTTCGCAAAATCAGGTTTTTATTATTTCAAAAACAGTGTTAAAATAATTATGCTTTATTTCTGGTGTTAAATTAAAACAATTAAATTAAATTAAATTAAAAGGATTCAAAAATTAAATTAAAAGGATTCAAAAATTCAAAAGTGGAAGTGAAAAAATCAGACACAGAGGATAACTCTGTGAAATCAGGTAATTTGAGGTTATGAAGGTTAACAATCCAGCGTTGCCGTACTGCTTCACACAACACACATAAAAAGGCGCCAAATTCAAACTTTACACATAGATAAAGACTAAGATAGTGCATTTTTGGCAATTTAAATTTGTTAAAATTCTTGAAACTATTTTTATAACTGTAAAACTATAAGGTTTTAAAGGTCAAAGGTTACAGGACAGTGCCTAAGCACAGTTCCGCGGGCTCGGATAATTTTAAAGTTTAAAGGTTAAAGGTCAAGGTCAAGCCCTGAGCAAAAAATAAATGAAAATCACTTTGATTCAAAAGATTTGCGCTTTTGAATAGGGCCAAGAGCAACATATTTCTTAATCCAAATCAGAAACTATCTTTAAGTTATTATATATATATAAATTAATCTATTCGTTTAAGGATATTACAATATAAGCTTAAATCAAGAGGATATTACAATATAAGCTTAAATCTTCGGAAGATATTTCTCTTTTGAATGAAGAAAACCTTTTTTAGCTCAAAAAAATTGGATTTTAACAAGAAAACTGCTCTTTTAATTAAAAAGCTTAGGAACTTTCTATGAAAGAAAATTTGTCTTACTACAAAAACGTATACTATTGACGTAACCACATTTTATTTTGATTTTAG